AAAACTTGAAACTTTTTGCTCGGGGCTCATTCGTGAGCTCCCCCCTTTCCTAGGTGATTGCCGCCTAGCTTCATAACACAAGCTCCCTTCTTCACCCATCGAGACCCTCGATGAAAGAACCGACTTGACTCCGGTGTCTTCCTGCAAATGGCGATGAATAGAAAAATGAAAAATTTGTTTCGACGCATAGCCACGTGAAGGCTTGTGTTCTACAAGCTCCCCCCTTTCCTAGCGTGGTTAGAGAATCTTGTTTCGATGCATAGCCACGTGGAGGCTTGTGTTCTACAAGCTCCCCCCTTTCCTAGCGTGGTTAGGGAATCTGGGAAGTGGAGCTCATCATTCCACAAGCTCCCTTCTGTATTCCTGGTAGGGCAATCCTTCGTGTCTTCTTCGACTGTCCTACTCATAGGAATCCATATCCACATGGGTGCTTATTGTTCCACAAGCATTCTTCGAATTCCTGGTAGGTCATCCTTCGTTCCTCTTCAGATGTCCTAGCCATAGGAATCCATACCCATATGTCTCTAGCTCCCACCTTCCTTACGTTTTCGTCCCTGAAAACAAAAAATTTCTTGCTTTGGTCGACACCCAATATTCAGCCAGATTTGTTCACCGAAGACACGATTGTCGATGGTTGGCAAATAGCCAGGTGAGTACGGTTGTCGACGGTATATCTCTGGGGTCTGCTAGCGTCGTTCCAGAGACTATAGATTGGGTTCATGTGAACGTCCTTCCTGTCGTTCAACTGGGAATACTGTCCTTCGGGAAAGATTTGGTGTAACGTCAAATGAAGCCATCTGATGACAACGACTGTGTCCTGCCTCGAGGGGTTCTTCTTCAGAATCTTGCCAGTTCTGATTCTTTCGAAGATGGATATTTCTTTTGAGATCACCCTCAAGCTGTTCCAGCTATGGGCGATCTAGGTTTGTGGGCTCGGTCGAGCCAGAAGTCGAAGGTGAACTACGTCTGCTGACTTCGTGGTTGGTCGTGAATGGTGAAACTTCAATGAAGAAGTCACCGGTCGTGCCTTAGATATATTTTCATCAGATATGTCCTCGGGTGGTCGTATGATCCATGTCTCATCATCTGGACTGGTCAGGGAATTTCCTCCTTGTGTTCCGATGGAAGGTAGTGAAACTCCATCGTATGTCTGGTCAGTCGTTCCCTATAACGGTCCTCGTGTTTTCCTATGGCAGTTCTCTGTGTTGAGATCGTCCTCAGATATCCGATTCATCGTCTTGACAAGTCCTCTAATTTGAATGGATCACTGGTCATTGGATCCTGTCTTGTTAAGGATCCATGAATTGCCTTCCCTGGGAAGGGCTTTAGCACGTCTTCAACATGTGCCTCAGATGAGAGCTTCTCTTCTGGACTACCACACGGGTAATCGCTAGTGCTTGAGTTCGTTCCTGTAACAAAAACTCCGCACTCCTGCCTTTTGATCTTTGGTGGCCCTTAACCAATCTTGTACATCTTTTGATTTGCCTGGTAACGTCAACCAGTCGGAGTCCTAGTCTCTTTTCTGACCTTGGTGATTCCTGTGCTCGCTTTTTAAAGTGCCCAGCTAGTCACTTCGAACTCCTGCCTACTCCCGTTTGAGCGCTTGGTTGTTCTGGCTTTTGATTTCCTCTGCTTGGTGTCCTATAACCAATCGTCCTTCCTATTCGCGTTTTCTTGATTGAAAACCAACCTCGGCAAGGTGTGGGTGCCTTCTTTCGGTGGCCCTTAACCGGCGTCTTCTGTATACCTAGCGCCTTCGGTGAGGATGGGGCTCAAGTCGACACTGCCTTCAGCAGGTACCTTGTCGCAACAAGTACCCAGGTTCCGCTTCTCCGAGAATCTCCTGTCTGGCAAAGTACTGTCGCAACAGATACTTCAGAGTGGTTCTCCCTGTTTTTCCCTCCTCGGGCGAAGTACTGCCGCAACAGCTACTTCAGAGTGGTTCTTCCTGTTTTTCCAAGTGGTGCAGAGGCCGCAACGTGCACCGAGTTTTCTAGAATTGGATACCCCTGTTTGAGGACTTGATGGAGTTGGTTTCTTCTGTAGCGTCCAAGTAGACCCCACTTCTCGTAAGTGGTTCTAAACCTAAACAGGTTGACCTATAGAAAAACCTCTTCCAAATGTTATGAAGCGTTCCCTGCTAGAACGTTCAGAACCACGTGTGCTTTCTCACACGTACTAGTCCACA